TTTAGTGGACTAAAACGACTAATATAATCGATTAAAACAACTAATTTAGTCAATATAGTGCACACATTTAGTCTACATGCTCAATCGATTAATTTTTTTGGGCCTAATTGAACCAGATCACTGTATAGTCGGGATTAGTCTAGTTCTTCCGACTGCTTGAGATATCAGAGAAGATAAACCATAGAAGAGTCACAAATCTCATATTCGTTATTTTTAATAATTTTTTTGTATCAAATGGGTAAAAATATACATGTTAAATTTAAATTAGGATGTATCATAGAAAAGTGACAGTCATAATCGTTATTTTGAAGTTTTTGAGTGATTTTAAAGTAAATAGGTATAAATATGTTTTGTAAAGATGTTAAAATAAAATTTCAGTGAAGATGTACTATAGAAAAGTGACAATTGCCATAATCGTTATTTTTGAACTTTTTTGAATTTATTTAAAGTAAATAGGTAAAAATATATATTGCAAAAATGTTAAGTTAAAATTTCAGTGAAGATGTACCATTGAAAAGTGACAATTGTCATAATATTTATTTTTTAACTTTTTTGAATTTTTTTAAAGTAAATAGGTAAAAAATATATAATGTAAAGATGTTAAAATAAAATTTCAGTAAAGATGTACCATAGAAAAGTGACAATTATCATAATCGTAATTTTTTAACTTTTTTGAATTTTTTCAAAGCAAATAGGTAAAAATATTTATTTTTAACATGTTAAATTAAAATTTCAGTGAAGATATACCATAGAAAAGTGACATTGTCATAATCGTTTTTTGTGAACTTTTTTGAATATTTTTAAAGTAAATAGGTAAAAATATATATCGTAAACATGTTATATTAAAGTTACAGTGAAGATGTACCATAGAAAAGTGGCAATTGTCATAATCGTTATTTGTGAACTTTTTTGAATTTTTTTAAAAGAAAATAGATAAAAATTTATATTGTAAACATGTTATATTGTGAAGATGTACCATAGAAAAGTGATAATTGTCATAATCGTTATTTTTGAACTTTTTTGAATATTTTTAAAACAAATAGGTAAAAATATATATTGTAAACATGTTAAATTAAAATTTCAGTGAAGATGTACCATAGAAAAGTGACAATTTTTATAATCTTTTTTGTGAACTTTTTTAAAGTAAATAGGTAAAAATATATATCGAAATATGTTATATTAAAGTTACAGTGAAGATGCACCATATAGGTGCGTACGCAGCGGGGGGGGGGGCAGGGGGACAAATCCCTCCCAGCCGGATATATTATTCAAAAATATTATTGTTTATATTAATTTATATTTGTTAATATTTATCTCATATTAAATATATATTTAATTACATTTATTATCACATTCATCAACTAAGTTATTTTATCAATTAATTTAGAATCCGGCGTAATATTTACTTATTATTTTCAAATTTTTAGTGGCGTAATATTTATCTTCCATTTTCAAATTTCTAGTCAAATAATAATTATTCAGAAATTGTCCAACAGGGAGAAAGAAATTGCAACCTTATCCAACGAGATAGAGTCTCAGCCATCAAGCAGTAAAAGCTTTTATGGAGTTAGAAGAGCGATAATTTGCTATTACTGAAATATCACAATAGCCTGAAAGAAATATTTCCTCAGAAGCAAGAAAATTATTGGATTCAATGCTTATTCCAAATTTTTTTCTCATTAGAATGTATTATTTAATTATACAACTATTTTATGTATTACTTTTCAAAAACATGACATTGACTTAATTAAGAAGATGAGAATAGCGGAGAGCATTTTATTAGAATTCAAATTAGGGCTAATGTTGATGAAGAATATCATATTTTATATGTTATTCTTAAGTCAAAAAGAGCTATACGTGTTTAATATTTGTCTCCCTCGACTTGCAGCAAGGCAAGCTCATAGTTAAAACATTAATATAGGATCAGTAGAAGAGTATATCTTAGATACAGATAAATTTATAACCCAAAATGAATGGTTTTTAATTCATCATGCAGCACTTAACAATCTGCAAATATTACTTCCATAAAAAGCCCTCCCAAACTTTCAGATGGTGATGGAAAAAAAAATATTTGTTGGATTTTTATGATGAAGATGTTAAAGTATCTTATGATGCCTTATTAGCTGAATAATTATGTTTATAAAATAAACTATGGTTGATATAGTCCCAAAAATTGCTATGGATGCTTTGTATTATTTCAAACACTTTTAGATTATATTCCCAATGTATTAAAAGGGTTTATATATATTAGCAACTCTTTCCATTAGTAAACTAATAAGAGAACAATCTCCTTTTTAAGAAGAATAACAGAGCCCTGCAGAGGTACCATTTGCAGGGCACGGCCCGGATTTTTTTTAAAATTTTTACGGCCCGACGCGGGTTTTTTTTTAAAAAAATATTTCAGGCCCCGGTCCGGCTTTTTTTTTAAAATTTCAGGGCTGACCCGGATATTTAAAATAAATTATATTTATTTTTGATTTTTATAGCTAATAATAACGATTTCAAATATAGGCTGTTTTAAAATATACAGCCCGCCTGAGTGTTTTTTTAAAAAAATATCGGGCCATGCCCCGGTATATTTAAATAAATTAAAATACGGTCCGGCCCGGGGGCCAAGCCTGCAGGTCTCTGCAAAACATACCAAGAAATACAACTTCTAAAAGTAGATTGAAAGGTTTGGATCTTTTGAATATTCATAGGCATTTAACGATTGAAAAATTAGCTCAATCCCAACGAAGATTGGATTTTACATTGTTAATATATAACATACAAAATACAATTATTCCTAAGAAACTTTTTATGTATTAATTAGCTCAATCCCAACGAAGATTGGATTTTACATTGTAAATATATAACATACAAAATACAATTATTTCTAAGAAACTTTTTATGTATTAATTTATATTTCTAACATTTAAATTTTTTATACTTTATATATAAATTTTAAAAGCTCAAAAAATTCATATTTCTATTTTGGGTCATTTAAGTGATTCTTTACATATAATTTTTTTATAATTCACATTAATTTAAAATTGTGTATTAGAAATAGTTATTAGTCCTAATAAATTTATGCTTGATATTTAAAAAAAACAATAATATTTCTTAAAAAATTTTATTATCCTCCCCCCCCCCCCAGACCAAATTCCTGCGTACGCGCCCAGAACCATAGAGAAGTGACAATTGTCATAATCGTTATTTGTGAACCTTTTTAAATTTTTTCAAAGAAAATAGGTAAAAATATTGAAAACATATTATTAAAATTTCAGTGAAGATGTACCATAGAAAAGTGATAATTGTCATAATCGTTATTTTTGAACTTTTTTGAATTTTTTCAAATCAAATAAGGTACACATATTTATTGTAAACATGTTAAGTCAAAATTTCAGTTAAGATGTACCATAGAAAAAAGGTGGTAAACATTGAAAAATAAATGCTTCATAAAATTTTAACATTTTTAATACCAAAGTACAGATATGGATGTTATATTTGAGAGAAGCTAATGAGACTAAAAAACTTCTTAGATTTGATTTGCGTGGAAGAATATAACATCGACGTGATTAAAAATTAGATTTACCGGTTTTCCCAAAAGCAAAGAAAATTCTATTATTAAATTTTAAATGCAATGTTTGAAATAGGTAGCATTCACCTCAAGATTAAATCACAACAGAAGAGTAGATGAGGTAAATAGAGGAGAGCACACTTTTTAATTACATTTAAATTTGAAAGTAAGGATATTGATTTGTAAGTCTACAATTATACATATAAATAAATTTATTGATTTGAAAACTATTTAAATAAAAAAAAAATTGCGTTTTGTTAATTGGTTAGTTGTGTAACCCCCAGACCCGGGGTTTGCGTCTATGACTAAACCAGCTCTGATCACGAGCCCCGGGAAAAGACCCGGGGTTCCATCCTTAACCCTTTAACGTCTCATGATTTGTTTTGACATCATATAATATAATTATATTTTTTAAATTTATAAAAGCCTATAGATTTAATTTAACATCATATGATATAAATATAATTAAAATACTTTCGCATTTTATTAAAATTAATAACGTATATTTTTTAATTTTTAAATTTGAATCAATTATATTTTCATAATTTTTTTTTTTCCATTTTACTGAATTTTACGATTTTATAACGACAATAAAACATATTCTGTGGAAAATATATATTATTCCTAAAATTCTTATTAATTATTAAAGGTAAGAGTATAATATTATGATCATTATTTTATTAAAAATGACTATGCTCTTTTTTATATCAACTCAAAGTGCATGATGCCAAAATAAGTCAATGGGATTTTAGAATACAACTTTTAAATATTTTTTTTAGTTTTATATTTATAATGATTTTCTATAGTTATAATTAAATTTTACCATAAAATGTATTCTAAATCCAATCAGACCATACCATTTTTGAATTTGGCGTTCATAAGACCTATATCTTCTGACTTATATTATAATTTTACATTTATTATATTTTTTAAAATGAATCTATAAAATTTATAGATGCCAAATAATTTATTAATAGTGGAGGGAGATATTTCGGAAGCTGATATCGATGAATCAGATCATGAGGAATTTAATTTGCATACTCTCTACAATGATTCCCCTTCAACTTCATCAACTCCAATATCTAATAATCTTCAAATCGAGATAGAGGAATTAATGATAACATTATCATTCAAAATAATATGAAATGGAGAGTAGGTGATATACATCAATTGGACACAAATTATGCTAATAAATTTTCCACTTCAACCAATATATTAACTCCGTATCAATACTTCAAATTATTTATTTCAAATAATATACTAAATAATATATGTAAACAAGTAATTTATACAGTTTTCAGCAAATAAATCGATCGCTAAATCTAAATATAAATGAATTAGAACAATTTATAGGCATAATCTTTTTTCTTCTTTGGTCAAAGTTCCTTCATATAGACAGTATTGGTCTGCACAATTAGCGTTCCCTCAGGTTACGGAAACTATGTCTCGAACCAGGTTCCAAATATTGCGAAAATATTTACATTTTAATGATAATTCTCAACTTATCCCAAGAAATCAAGATGGATATGATAAATGTTTTAAAATTAGGCCATTTATTAAAGAGATTCAAAATAATATGCAAAAATTAGAGATGGAGGAAAGAGTATGTGTTGATGAATTAATCATCCCGTTCAAAGGGCGGAGTTCTTTAAAACAATATATAAAATCGAAGCCTCACAAATGGGGTATCAAAGCATTAGCTGGATCCTCCGGTATTGTATATGATTTTAAGATTTATGCAGGAAAGCAAACTAATCCAACACCCTCAGAATTAGGGATAAGTGGTGATATAGTCCTCCAATTGGCTAAAAATATCCCGAAATTTCAAAATCATAAACTCTTTTGCGATAATTATTTTTCTTCAATAGCATTGGCTAAACAATTAAAAGAAAAAGGTATATTTATGGTAGGGACTATTAGAAGTAATCGTTTGAAAGATTGCAAGTTAAAATGCGATAAAGACTTTAAAAAAGAAGGTCGTGGGAGCTATGTATATAAAGTTGATAAAAAAGAAAATATAATAATTGTCAAATGGTATGACAATAAATTTGTGCACATCATCTCAACACTTGTCGGTGTTCATCCGGTAGTAAATGTAAAAAGATGGTCATTGAGTAACAAAGAATATATTGAAGTTCCAAGACCAAATGTATTAAAATATATAATGAAGGTATGGGAGGAGTCGATTTACACAATATGCTTGTTGAATGCTATAGAGTAGATATCAAAGGAAAAAGATTCTACTTAAGAATTATTTTTCATCTCATAGATATGTGTGTAGTAAATTCATGGCTTTTGTATAAACGGCAAATATGCCATGAAAAGGAGAATAAAATCATGAAACTTATACAATTAAAACACATATTGTTAAAGCATTGTTATCGGCAGGAAAAACTAGTAAAAGAAAATCAGGGAGTCCTTTAAATAAACCGATTAAAAAAAATTTCTTCTAATGGCTCCTGTATATGATATCAGATATGATAACATAGGTCATTGGCCAGATTCCTGCAAAAAGAACAAAATGTGGAAAATGTAATATATATTTATGTTTTAATCAATTTAGAAATTGTTTTCGACATTTTCATAATAAATAAATATTTGTATTTTTTTATTACACAAAAGCCTGATGATTTGATTTGGCATCATCATTTTTTTTAACTGTATATTTAAATATAAAAGTTGAAATAAATATTAGGCATCTATGGAGTGTATAAATGAATAATTTATAAAAAAAAATTTTTTTTTAATTAATAAAAAGTTGAGCGTCAAAGGGTTAATAGCCACGCCTAAAAATGCGAACTTGTATTTTCTTTGAAAAATATTACAAAACGTTACTGAATTTATTATATATATAAAGTATTTAAGAATAAATGGGGGCAGGGGGGGAGGTTAGCGAAATCTTTTTTCACAAAATCGATTTTTATAATTCTCCCTCAAAAAAATTTTTCACTAAATTTCTCGCAATTGATCATACAGTCAAAACAAATCTTTTTCTCTTTTAATAATTTTTTTTCAAGAAAGGAAAACCCCTATATTTTCATTTTCATAATAATAAAATATCACCACATTTTGAGATTTTATTTATTATTTTAATTTTGATATATTTTAGGGCCTAGCTGGCACCATTATTTTTTTGTATATTTTTTAAAAATTATTATTTTAGAAAATAAATGACCAATCCCTCCGCCGTTCTCTCTCCCATTGTTATTTAAAATTGTAACAATCATTTAGCAAGATTTTTTGGTTATTTAAATTTATTATAATTATTATTAATATTATATTTATTATTTAAATTTCAATGATTATAGCGCCTAGATGGCACCAGTAAGTTTTTGTTTTAAATTTTTATTTTAATTTTAAAAACAATTTTTATTAAAAAAAATTTAACATTTTTTCTTTTGAATATTTTTATCATAGAAGAATGCAGAATTTTTAGATATTGTTATAAGGGATATTAAATTATGGAGAAAAAATGCAAATAATTTTTATAGACTTTTCTTCTTGCCCCGCCCATATAAAAAAAGTTAAACCACTCTCGCCCCCCATATAAAATTTAAATATGCCCATTCTTCAAATTTTTTAAGCATCTAATAACAAATAAATGATTCAGTATCAACGCTACACTCTTACTAAAAATTTAATAATTTAGTAAGCATAAAAAAAAATATTCAATTTAAATTATGTTTAAAATATTTATGATAATATAAAATCATTTTATTATCATGCAAAAATAATAATGAATCCAAATTTTCTGTGATCAAAAGCGTTCCTATTGTTTATAAAATACCACTTAAAAAATAAAATTTTAACGCATTAGTTTTTTTCACTATTAACAATATTTATTTTATTTTTTTTATTTGAATTACATGATTTTTAAATAAAAGAATTAAGATAATATATAATTTTTACGTTGATAAATCTCATTAACTTTGAACCTTTGCGCAAATAAACAAGAGTATCTTCTAGTTCAATCTATACTAAAAGTTCTCATTCAACTAACATTAAAAATAATCCTAATTTTTCTTCGTCTATATTAGTTCTCATCCTATTTTTTATAATAATTTACTAAATGTTCTCTCGCAATTAACTTGCGTAAATGACAGTTTGTATTCATAAATTTGTGTATGCACTTGTGTACATATTGTATCTCAAGAATTTCATACATGCATATTAAACAATTGTTACATTTATTATCCCAAATCACATTCTGTATTATCTAATTTTAATTAGACTCCTCACCTGCACATACGATATCATAGTCCGTTTCATTTAATTCTGCTATTAAAACTTTGAATTCACAGGCAAATGAACATAATTAGTTACGTAATTCACACAATATATTTGCCAATTGTGTCAGTTTTCCCAAGGTATTTTCAGAAATTCCTTTACTATTATTTTCATCAAAATGCCTAGGATGTAAATATTACACATTCAAAATAAGCTCTCTTTTTGCAGAAAACCGTTCTGATGTTTATAATTTGATCAATTATAGGACGAAATACTTCGACCCTATAAATGCAAATCAAATCCAACAAGTTTTTTTTATCTTATTAATTTTTCCGACGATAAAATCCACAACAGTTATCGATAATCTGGTATTTAAAAAATATTTATGAAACATATTTTTTAAATAAATTTTAAATAACAAATAAAAGTTGTTTATTAGCCCGCCCATTTTTTCAAAGGTCCGTTAGCACTTTTTAAATTATTTAGCCAGATTATTTGGGCAAAAAAATTAAAAAATATTTTAAATAACGATTATAATAATATCAATTTCTATGGCACATCCTCACTGAAATTTTAACTTAACATGCTTACAATAAATATTTTTACCTATTTGCTTTGAAAAAATTCAAAAAAGTTAAAAAATAACGATTATGAAAATTGTCGTTTACAATATCATATTTTTACCAGTTTGCTTTAAAAAAAAATTGAAAAAAGTTCAAAAATAACGATTATGACAATTGTCACTTGTCTATGGTACATCTTCACTGAAATTTTATTTTAACATCTTTACAATATATATTTTTACCTTATTTACTTTAAAAAAATTCAAAAAAGTTAAAAAATAACGATTATGACAATTGTCACTTTTCTATGGTATATCTTCATTGAAATTTTATTTTAACATCTTTACAATATATATTTTTACCTATTTACTTTAAAAAAATTCAAAAAAGTTAAAAAATAACGAATATGACAATTGTCACTCTTCAATGGTACATCTTCACTGAGATTTTATTTTAACATCTTTACAATATATATTTTTACCTATTTACTTTAAAAAAATTCAAAAAAGTTAAAAAATACGAATATGACAATTGTCACTCTTCAATGGTACATCTTCACTGAGATTTTATTTTAACATCTTTACAATATATATTTTTACCTATTTACTTTAAAATCACTCAAAAACTTCAAAATAACGATTATGACAATTGTCACTTTTCTATGATACATCTTCACTGAAATTTTATTTTAACATCCTTACAATATATATTTTTACCATATTACTTTAAAAAAATTCGAAAGAGTTAAAAAATAACGATTATGACAATTGTCACTTTTCTATGGTACATCTTTACTGAAATTTTAACATCTTTACAATATATATTTTTTACCTATTTACTTTAAAAAAATTCAAAAAAGTTAAAAAAAATAACGATTATGACAATTGTCACTTTTCTATGGTACATCTTCACTGAAATTTTATTTTAACATCTTTACAATATATATATTTGCCATATTACTTTAAAAAAATTCAAAAAAGTTAAAAAATAACGATTATGACAATTGTCACTCTTCTATGGTACATCTTCACTGAAATTTTAATTCAGCATATACAATTTATTATTTTACCGTCGCTTCAAAAAAATTCAAAAAATATTACAAATAACGATAATGATAGATAAATGTCAGTCACTATACTTTAGTTCATCTTCTATGATATCTCAAGTAATCCTAGACTAATTAGCCACACTAACCCCGATTATACAGTTATACAGATTCGTTTCGGCTCAAAAATTTGATTAGTCGACTAAGCTGACTAAAAGGGTCGACTACTTTAGTCGACTTAATTAGTTCTTTTAGTCGACTTAATTAGTTCTTTGTCGACTAAATTAGTCGACTAATACATTAATTTACACTAATTTTAACATATGATGGATTAAAATTATGATGGATTAAAATTATGATGAAGTAAAATATTATTGCATTAATATTTAAGTTATAATTAATATCATCTAATATTTTATTTTATTTGGCATGTTTATTTTAGGTATTCCTAGATCAAATTTTATGAGATATTACAAGAGATATCAAGAAATTGAAGTATTTGCTAGAAAAAAATAGTAAAAAAAATTTTTCACAAAGATATTTGTCTTTGTTGTAAGCTAGATTATATAAAACATCATAACGGCTAAGGTACCAATGCAAAATGTACCAAGGATGTGGACACATGGTACATGTTTAAACTTCGATAAATTTTTTATATCTCCAAAATGTTTACTTAATTAACCAAAAATAAGTTTCAATTTTTATATATAATTAGTTTCAATTTATAAGTATTATAATATTTTAACAATAAAATTATTCCATACGTATCATTACTAATAAATAAAAATGCATTTCAATTGATTATAGCCTAAAAAACTAATGGTTTAGGAAGCCCCTTAAAGTGGTTTGCCTAACCCCGTTACTGGGGCTTGTTGGACAAAATTTTCACTTTTATAAAAAATAAAATTTCAAAAATATGATTATATTCTTAAAATATTTTATAAGGCACCAGTTTTAGGCATCTATTCATGTATTGTTTTTTAATATTATCTAAAAAACACAGGAGCTATAGCCGATTTTGCAAAAATCAGTTCGAATAGCCCCATCTTCCCCTAATTATATTATAAAAATTTTTATCATGTAGTAAAAACATTGATAATACCCAAGTTTGAGTTAGAAGTCAGAATGCCCCTAAAGATATAGTGATGAGTAAAAATTACAATTTTATCAATAGATCTTTATATTAGCCTTTATAATATAATATCAAAATATTATACTAAATTTTTTTAGCTTCTCCACCCCACATAATAGTTTTAATTATCAATTAATCAATTGATCCTTTTCGAAATATTAAGCGAAATAACCCTACCGCATTGAAAATGTAGAATGATGAGCTACAACCAGTCTCCTTATTTTTCATATTTATATCGATGAATGTTAGGGTATTTTTAACCCCTAATATTACCATACCCTTTCTGAAGAGATGAGCATCATTTTAATCAATTCATCTACCATGGTGACGCTGAGTGTTGAGTATCAATGTAATCAAACAATTTTAATTAGGTTTCATTTGATACCGATGAGAAGATATTATGTTAAAAAAAATGCCCCCCTCCCCTACCTTGATAATCAATTTATTTTTTATTAGTTTTAATTAAATACCCATGACAAGTATTATGTTATAAAAATTGCACCCCCCCCCCCCCCCCCCAAATCCATGACCTAGACCTTGATTAATAAAACTCAACAATACATTTAAATAATTTTAATTAAAAAAAAATACTTTATATAGAAAAAATTTCTGAGCGATTTAGTATTTCTTCTGAGATATTCAATAAAAAAATTCTGATATAATCATAATTTTTACATTGAAAAATCGTCTTTGATTTTAAGAAAAATAACTGTGTAATTTAGTATAAATCTTTTGCTTTAAGTATTTTTGCAATTAAGTAAAAAAAAATTGAGTATTTAAGTTTTTATTCTGTGCGAAATAATAAAAATCATAATTTATATTAATTTTTATTTATATATTTTTTGTTATATAATCAGGGTTGGCACGGAGGAGTATTTGACAGCTCAAATACTCTAAAATATTATTGCCGAATGAATATTTTGATATAATTACCTAGTATGCATATTAAGCATGTATCAATATTATTAGGTTACAATTTATTTAAAAATATATTTGTATCATGAAGGAATCGTTTTAATTATAATTTTATAATAAAATTTAAAAAATTTACAAAATAAAAACAAAAGAATTTTTTTATTACTAAAATAAATAAATATAATAATTTAACTAAGTCATGGTTTATTTTTTAATAAATTTAAATTTTATTTAATATTTAGCCGATAATTCTCATTTATTTTACTTCCACTACATTTGAATTTATAATTATCTTTTTAGTTAAGAATTTATAAAATTCTGGTAAAAAGTAATATAATATTATAATATTAAGCCATATTGATATTGAAATAATTGGTAGATAATTAAAAAAAAATTAAGATTTATTAATTTTACAATAATCAAAATCTTCTATAGTTAAATTTTAATATATTAGGAATTATGGTCAAACCAAAGCATCAAGTTTGGAAACATTTTAAAGAGGTACGCGATAGTAAATCAGTTAAAGCGGTATGCAGATTTTGTAAGATGTCCTATATTACCTAGGTTGATAGAATGGTCAAGCATTTACTAAGCAGCTGTACTATGTGCCCTGTCATAATTAAGGAAAATTTTTATTCAAATTCCCAAATATCAACATAGAAAAAAAAATCACACAAATATAATTTATAATACTTCTAGCTCTATTGAAGAATCGGGTGAAATTAATAAGAATAATTATCAAATTGACAATATTTTGCCTTATGACTCAAGAGAATTTGATTCCATTATCTCTGATCAATCTACAAGAAAGGCGATTAAATGTATATCTTAATCTTTTATAAACGGTTTCATAGATTGAATGAATCCCAAAGAAAAAAATGAGCTGGATCAATTGTTTGACTGTATATGCGAAGAATTTACCTTTCCACATCACTGAAAATCTTACATCCAAGAATTTTTAAAAAAATACGTTCTATTCACACTTTACCCATGTGAAGGTAACTGGCTGGATATCTTCTAGACAAGGCGTCAGGAGATATGGAGGCGAGAGTTGCAGATATAATGGATAGAGCTTCTCACTTATTAGTTGTAAAAGATAGTTGGACATCAGAAACGAGAGTATTATTCATTTTATGGTGATGACGCCTGTTCCAGTATTCTACAAATTTTTAAATACTGAGGAAAATCGCCATATGGCAGATTATATTGCCCAGAAATTTAAAAATATAATTCATGAATTGAATCCGATAAAAGTATATTCTTTAGTTACTAATAATGCCGCTAACATGAAAGCAGCCTGGAGAATTCTAAAAATTGGAATTTATTTATAATTATATACAATGTTATGGTTGTGCATCGCATACTTGGCAGTTATTCTTTTACGATTTTGAATGATTGAACGACTTCAGTTATAGGTATTTTACAAAGTGGTGATAAAAATATTTTAAGTGATTTAATAAATTTCAGAAGTAAAAGCGGCATATTCAATAGCCAAAATATGTGGACCTTAAGTTGATGTAATGCCCTTTATCTACCTTGCTCATTAAGAGAAGTATGAATATTTTACTAACATTTCCTAATTCAACTTCTTTTCCAGAAAGAAAATGGTCGTTTTGGGGCAATGTTCATACGAAAAACAGAAATCGATTGAAGACTTCTACAACAGGAAAATTGGTAAGTATATCATAACTTAAGATTGATTAAAAATATTAAAGAAAATAATAATATTGAATATGAATCGGAACAAGACTCTGCCACGGAGAGCGAAACATTAACTATGGAATGAATTTAAAAAATATGATAGATTCATTATAATATTATATATATACAAAATAATGTTAACATTGACGTAAAAAACATTTAAATTTGAATTTGACCATCAAATATCGGTCAATTGACCAAATCGTATTTGACCGGCCAAATACACAACCCTGATAATAATAAAGGTTTTGTTAAATAAATTGAGTGTTCAGGATTCTTACTAAAATTTTAAATAAGCTAAGAAATATGAGTTATCGCATATCAATTAAGTGAGGTTGTATATGTATATTAAACGTTCATGATCATGTATGAAAATAATGGATTAATTATAATGATATATATTTGATTGTGTAATCAAATTTTTTGATTGTGTAATCAAATTTATTAGTCTGTATAAATATATAATTTGACATAAGTGTAAAACATAATCAAATTTTTATGAAAGTATAAAGTCATTTAGTTTTTAAATAAAAATATTATTCCCTGACATTTGTCGTGGTTGAATGTAAAATTTAACATTATTGCTAATCGTGACAAAATCATACCATAGGTCTCCTATGCACATTTCGTTGATGATATCAGAATTTTCGAGTAATAAGTCAACAGATAAAACGATGCTCATTTCCACATAAGCTGGATCTTAAGAACAAAATAAAAATAATTATAAATTATATATTTTAATTTTATTATAGTTATATAAATATATCAGAGACCTGCAGGCCCGGTGTAACGTGTGAAAGTGATTACCATGAGATTTCGAATTCTCACACCATCAAAATCTCACGGCTGACACCGTGTGAAAGTGATATCATGAGATTTTGATTTTTATCGCTTCAAATACATTTTTAGGCCATTTAAATCATCAAAATCTCACGGTTATTCAATATTTCAAAATCTCATAGATATTTTTAAAATCTCGCATTATTAATTTAAATATACTTTTAAAACGTCAGATTTGAATGAGGCTGTCAAATTAGAAATATTTATATATAATACAATTTAATTTGAAATTCTTTTTCATTATGAAGTAAATTTTTAACAATATATTTTTTATTTCAGAAATATTTTAGCTCAAATTATAATGATATATATGACTTCCTAAAATGTTCTAAAGTTCCAGTGCACCGCCTTCAAGATTATAGAAAATCAATTATTCTATGAAAGTAATTTTAGATATGTCATGATTAATTTATTATAATTAGCCATTATAAGTTTAATACAATATATTATTTTTTAACATTGAAAAATGCTCAGGCCATTGATTATTATCTTTTTTTCATCTAAAATTAATTATAGCTGTAAATGTAACTGTATATAATATATATATATGTAAGAACATTTGATAAAATTTTACATATAGGCATTATTAAATGCTATTTTACAACTAAAATTTAATTTAGATTATCACATAAAGATGAAAAGTAAATGTTAGATACTTTTATTATAATGTATATTGGGCTTATAAATGATTGCATAATTAATTTATTAAAGTTAGGTATTAAGTGCAGTTTATTCTTCTAGCCATTGATTATATATATTTTTTCTGCATCACAAATATTATTATATATATAATTTAATGATATTTAGAAGAAAGAAAAGTTATACTGACAGAACATGAACAAAAAAAATAATTAAAACAATGCATGAGGGGGGTGTATCTACAGTTGCAGGTATTGCTATGGGAGGGCATCTGGGGATTAATAAAACTAATCAAATAATAGCTGAAAAGTAAAAATTTGCAATATTCTTTTAATTATATTTTTTAAGCTTTTATTGGTTGGGGAGCAATAAAAGTGTTAGAGAGTTTATCAAATTCTGTGAGGTTTGTCAAAAATCAAGCAGTCGTTTTGATAAAACCTCAAATGTTTTGCACAATAATAAAGTTGTGCCATAGTCTTGGTATCAAATTGGCATCGATTTAATCCAGATGCCAGAATCCAAGGAAAAATACAAATATATTTTATGTGCCATATGCTATTTTTCAAAACAGCTAAATCTGTTGTAAAAGCCTTATACATCATTGTCAACACCCACCAATGCTATGAAGTAATAAAATAAAAATACCAATTTTAACTGAATTTTATTATATTAATATATATTTTTTTAAATTTAATAAAACTAAAATATATATTTATTAAAGATTCAGATAAATGATCAAGGCATAAATATTGTGGGATTGTCCAAAGAGTAACCTCAGCCTACCACCCACAAGCAAATGGTTTGGTTCTTGCTAGAGAGTTTGTTGATCCAAAGTCTCCCAGAGGTATTGTAGATATATATTTGAATTATCTTTTGAATGATAATCTTATAATTATTTTTTGAATAATAGCCTTATAATTATTTTTAGTGTTTTTATTATAATTAATGCATTGCCTTTAGATAGTAGTTCCCAAAATGGCCTTTATGATGAAATTATCCCACTTGCTACGGAGTTTGTTGATCCAAACTCTCCCAGAGGTATTGTAGATATATATTTGAATTATCTTTTGAATGATAATCTTATAATTATTTTTTGAATAATAGCCTTATAATTATTTTTAGTGTTTTTATTATAATTAATGCATTGCCTTTAGATAGTAGTTCCCAAAATGGCCTTTATGATGAAATTATCCCACTTGCTACGGAGTTTGTTGATCCAAACTCTTCCAGAGGTATTGTATTTAGGATATATATTTGAATTATCTTTTGAATGATAACCTTATAATTATTTTTGAATAATAGCCTTATAATTATTTTTAATGTTTTTATTATAATTAATGCATTGCCTTTAGATAGTAGTTCCCAAAATGGCCTTTATGATGAAATTATCCCACTTGCTACGGAGTTTGTTGATCCAAACTCTCCCAGAGGTATTGTAGATATATATTTGAATTATCTTTTGAATGATAATCTTATAATTATTTTTTGAATAATAGCCTTATAATTATTTTTAGTGTTTTTATTATAATTAATGCATTGCCTTTAGATAGTAGTTCCCAAAATGGCCTTTATGATGAAATTATCCCACTTGCTACGGAGTTTGTTGATCCAAACTCTTCCAGAGGTATTGTATTTAGGATATATATTTGAATTATCTTTTGAATGATAACCTTATAATTATTTTTGAATAATAGCCTTATAATTATTTTTAATGTTTTTATTATAATTAATGCATTGCCTTTAGATAGTAGTTCCCAAAATGGCCTTTATGATGAAATTATCCCACTTGCTACGGAGTTTGTTGATCCAAACTCTCCCAGAGGTATTGTAGATATATATTTGAATTATCTTTTGAATGATAATCTTATAATTATTTTTTGAATAATAGCCTTATAATTATTTTTAGTGTTTTTATTATAATTAATGCATTGCCTTTAGATAGTAGTTCCCAAAATGGCCTTTATGATGAAATTATTCCACTTGCTACGGAGTTTGTTGATCCAAACTCTTCCAGAGGTATTGTATTTAGGATATATATTTGAATTATCTTTTGAATGATAATCTTATAATTATTTTTTGAATAATAGCCTTATAATTATTTTTAATGTTTTTATTATAATTAATGCATTGCCTTTAGATAGTAGTTCCCAAAATGGCCTTTATGATGAAATTAATCCACTTGCTACGGAGTTTGTTGATCCAAAGTCTCCCAGAGGTATTGTATATAGGATATATTTGAATTATTTTTTTGAAAATAAAGCAGCACGTGTGTTACTTATATATAGTGGTTCCCAAAATGTTGAGTTTGAAGATAAAAATATTCAGCTTGACAGGGATTTTATCCATCCAAATACTCCCATAGGTAATGTTATTTCTGATATATATTTGATTTATTTTTTAATTTATTACGTATACAGAATTGGATGATGATATTTTGATAATAAATAAATTAGAAAATATCCCTAGATTTTTTTTTCCTACAACAAAGGTATGGAAAAAATTTCATGCTAAAATATATGGTCTAAAGCCTCCCAAACGTTGTCGGGATGTAGACTATGAGAAACAACTTGGTGAACCCACCATCCTGGTGCAAATTGAAGGTGATGGGAATTGTTTTTATAGGTAAAACATATTAATATAAAATTTCATTTTATTCTACTTTATATAATTTAGGGCGATTAGTGTAGAGCTTACTGGAGCTCAAAATTCCCATGATATTCTCAGGCAATGGTTGGCACAATTTAAGCTAACATCCGAGATGGGAAAGGTAATTGAAAATTATCTTCACGACACGAACAAAAAAATAGACACAAACATGTCTTTAATAATGTAATGACACAGTAGATATGGGCTTCTGACACAGAAGTCAGGGCGATGGCCACAATGTTAAAACGGCTATTTTTACTTATATAAAATATAATGATAATTTTGTATGGGCCCGATATGACCCATTTTATATTCGCGACAATATAAAAATATTTAATAATAATTTTATTTATATAAAAAATGGGGGGAGTCATTTTGAAAATGTTTTAGATTGCGATTTATCTTCCATCTAATCACTATTTATTATTTTTATTTAAAAAAATTTTTTATATAAAAATATATAAATATATTTCATTCATATTATAACTTATCGCCTTATATATATATTTTTTATGAAAGTTGTAGTTTATAAATAATATTCAATTACATTCTGATATGCAAAATATGATAATAATTATATTTTTCCATTATGCTTTTATTAAATTTAAAATTATGTATAAATATTTATATCAATAAAGTTCTTCGTCTATTTTCTTATACCAAATAAAGTTTTATCTAATATTGGTGACCCAATTCAGTACAAAATAATATAGAGATGGATTATTTTTAAAACATTATATTAGGTAAACAAAATAAGCATTACGACTAAGCCATTTAGGCTAAGAATTTATCTTACTGTTTCTTTGCGTGATTTTTAGAGGGTTGGGTAGAAAAGGCGGTTTGCCTCTAGTAAATTTTCTGTCATATATGAGCTTTGTCTAAATTAATGTCTATCGAGAAGATGTACTTTGTATAAGAAATATCATGGGATCGGAGTATTTGGTTATTTTATAAATTTCATGTTGTGTAAATTAGCATGTTAGTAAGGATCTCTTCCCTACCTAAATATTGCTAAACTTTAAATATGATATAGATTGGAGTCTCCTATCAATAATCTGAACTAGTTCGCCCGTACTTTAAAAAAAATATTTTCAACATTGGGCGAGAGGGTTAAAAAATTTGGGAGAATTTGATATTTTTCAGGCGAAATGAGCAGAACAGTAAATAGTTTTTCATAATATTCCATATTATATGTTTAATTAAAAATACATTAAAATAAATAAAGAGCCAAACCAGCCATAAAATAATTTTAAAACAAAATATATATAAAAAAAATTATAAGTGAGAGCGAGGGCAGGTTAAATAAATCTTTTCGCTAAAAACCCGCCCATTACAGACCTCTAATCTGCATATCTTATCACACACTATTTGGTATGATATGCAGACTAAAAATATAAATTTAAAACTATAGAGAGGCGGCGACTATTTAGATAAGATAGATAAAAAAAACAATATAAATAAAAAATGTACGCTACATGGATTTGAACCCGCATTTTGAGGATAGGTATGTAATTATTACTAACTAGACTACCCACCACACCTTGTAATTCTTAATTTTATTTGTTATATATAATCTACTTTTTAATTAAATTTATATGTATCAAAAAGAGAAATTTTATTATATTGTTAACTTTAATGATGTTAAAATAAAGATGAGCTCTTGAAATGAAACAATATATATTTTACAAAGCATTACTAAAATATTATTTTAAAACATAGATTATTAAATAGTTAGGTGTGATACCATTATTGTCTCTATATTGTATTTTATATCCTTAACTTTAATGATGTTCCTTGATTTTACAGCTCTCATTATTCGACTTAATGACCTTAAAAAAATAAAGAGTTCTTAAAATGAAACGATATATATCTTGCAAAGCATTATTAAAATAATATTTTAAAACATAGATTATAATTTAACAGTTAGGTTTTATACCATTATTGTCTCTATATTATATTATCATTTAAATTCATGTCATGAAAATTTTTGCTTTAGATTTATCGCTTCAAAAACATTGGGGGCCATTATCATCAAAATCTCACAACCCATCCGTGTGAAAGTGATTGCGTGAGATTTCGAAATCTCACAGATCACTTTCACACGTTACACCGGAACCAGGTTACAAAAAATTTAAAAAATCCGAAATCGGTTGAAAAATCATATTGGAAGATCCAAAAAATAATGTTCATTTTTACTGCGGCCATGGGAAATATTTGCATAGGGGACTACACAATTGTTACAGTATTGTCAATTATTGATAATAAGTTTATAATTATTGTTTCTTTTGATTCAGTGACCATATACAGTGAAGATCAAGTTAAGTAATTGTTAATTTATCTTAAAAAATTAATTTTAAAATTATTGGCACATGCTAAATAAAAGAAAATAAATTTATAAGGGCTATAAACTTTAAAAAAATTCAACGGAAGGAACTTTAAAAAAAATTAGCCTCAAATTCCCACAAAAAAAATCTGTTTCTATATTATTATAACATGTCAACCTATTTTTTTAGAGTAATGACCGGGCCCGTAGCCATGAAGGATCCCGGAAGGGGGAGAGGGAATTTGGCCCCCAAGCCTAACTAAAAAACAAAATTCTAGTTATTAAAATTTTAATTCGCCAATAAACAAGAAAATACTCATAAAAATATTAGTTATAAGATATCCATTCACTCATTTACAAAATGAAAAAACAAGAAAATACTCATAAAAATATTAGTTATAAAAAATCCATTCACTCATTTACAATTAAATGAAAAAACAAGAAACAATATCCTTTTTTATTCCCCGGCAAAAAGACACTAGTTTTGGTGAAGTCAGTTCCCGTGATAATTCTTCTCAATCTCTTCTTGAAAATGGTAAGTCAGTTAGCGAGATTCAATTAATTAAACAATTAAAATAAATTATAGAAATTGCAAACTAATTCCTGCTTATTATGCGATGATACCTGGACATTAATTAGAATATATTTTAAAAAAATTGAAAGAGGACGAATATTCTTATATGAAGAGGATTAATTAAAATACCAATTTTCTTAATGAAGTGTAATATATTAAAATGGCAAACTACTTCTAGCCTTTCAAGTCCCTTAAACGTCAATTATGGTCAATGCATATCAAATATTAAAATAAATTAAAGAGGATGAAAACTCTTAAAAAGAGGACGAATATTTTACTATGAAGGATAACTGAAGGATTTTTAAGCACAGGGCTCAGGTAACTTACACTATAATTACTTATTTCCAGGGTTGTGTATTTGACCGGTCAAATATGGCCAAATTCAAATAAATGTTTTTTAAGAAAATATTAACTTTATTTTTTATATATTTAAAAGATAATATTCTATTTGTTTTTTTAAATTTTACAAGAGAATTTTTATAATACTACTTGATTCATTCATTAACATTATTTTATAATATTATTAAAATTCATTGTCATTCAATAACTAATGTTAGCTCTCCGTGGTAGTTTTGTTCTGATTTATATTCAATATTATCAATTTCTTTAATATTTTTATATCAATTTTCCTGTTGTCTATTGTTCTAGTAAGATAATTTACCAATATAAACCAATTTATTAATGAAGAAGTAGAACTAGGAACTGTTAATAAAATGTCACTTCTCTTAATACATGGTGAACAAAGCTCCTTTCACTAACTTGAGATCGGAATCTGATTGTTTCTTATGTAAGTTAGTGCTTTTCACATAATTTTATATTCATGCCGTTTTTACTACAGAAATTTATGATATCACTTGAAATATTTGATCATCACGACCTTATAATAAGCCTAATTATTTTATGACACTTTAATCTCAAATAAGCATCATTGTGATAACATTAATTACAGATTTTTAATAAGACCAGGTCAAATACACCTCCGGTCTAGTGTTTTAAACGGCTAAGCCGAGTCGACTTAGCTGCGACTCGAGAGTTTATAATCGATAAAACGACTTTGACTCGAGCCGACTAAATGAATCGCATTGGTCGGCTCGCTTAATCGACTCATGAAGTCGGCCCGTATAAGTCGACTCGCTGGGTCTGCTCAATTTTTTTGTTTTTTTTATAAAATCTGGTAAATTGCTAAATTTTGGGTTACTGATTAATGAGAACAAAATTATAAGAATATTCATGTCGTAACTAAAAATGGCTCAGGACCCGAATTCGGCTTCAGGGATTATACCTAATTTTTATAACACAAAAATGTAAAAATATAATTTATATTGTAAAGATGTTAAATTAAAATTTCAGTGAAGATGTACCCTAGATAAGTGACAATGGTCATAATCGTTGTTTTTAAAGTTTTTTTGACGTAAATGGGCTAAAATAAATATTGCTAACATGTTAAAATAAAACTTCAGTGAAGATGTACCCTAGATAAGTGACAATTGTCATAATCATTGTTTTTAAAGTTTTTTTGACGTAAATGGGCTAAAATAGGTATTGCTAACATGTTAAAATAAAGCTTCAGTGAAGATGTACCAAGTTACAATTGTCATAATCGTTGTTTTTAAAGTTTTATAAATTTTTTTGACGTAAATGGGCTAAAATATATATTGCTACCATGTTTAAATAAAATTTCAGTGAAGATGTACTCTAGATAAGTGACAATTGTCATAATCGTTTTTAAAGATTTTTGACGCAAGTGGGTAAAAATATAGATTGTAAATATGTTATATTAAAATTTTAGTGAAGATTTACCATAGATAAGTGACAATTGTCAATCGTTATTTTTAAAGTTTTTTAATTGTCAAAAAATTTTAAAAATAACGATTATGACAATTGTCATTTTAATATGGTACATCTTCACTGAAGTTTTATTTATACATGTTAAAAATGCAAAAATTTTAAAAATAACGATTATGACAATTGTCATTTTTATATGGTACATCTTCACTGAAGTTTTATTTATACATGTTAAAAATGCATACTTATGTCTATTAGCGTCAAAAAATAAAATATGTTTAAAAATACCGATTATGATAATCGTCACTTTTCCAAGGAACATTTTCATTGAATTTATAATTTAACATTTTTACCATATAAATTATATTTTTGCCCTTTTGTCAAAAAATTTCAATTATCTTAAAAAATAACGAATATGACAATTGTCAGATTAAAATATTATCCTTACAATGATCATATAAAATAACATATTTCAAAAATAGAAAAAATTAACTCATTAAATATATTAACCAACAAT